AACCGTTCATATGTTGAATTCGTTAAGTACTTCATCTCTAGAAAAAAATCACGTTGATCAGATATCGATAGCCCATTGATTGAAACATATTTTTTTCAATAGTAAATATGATTTTAAAAACAAATTGTTAACAAAATTTTGTTTAGATTAAGGGGCTATCAATATTGATAAAAATGTGTTCCGATTAAGGGGCTATCGACATCCGATCAAAGTAATTTTTTATAAAAATGAAATAATCGATGAGTTATATACATTAAATTAAGATTATCAAAACGAGATCCATGATAGACCCCACAAGCCAAACAGTATGATTTAATTCACAAAGTGGACTAAAAAAAAATCCATTCCATTTGGAAAATGTTAATGGAAGATAAAATGGTAATTTCAAAAATATGTATGAAAATAATATGAAAATTTTATAATTTTTACAAATAATGTGACACTATATTATAATAATTTTTAAAAAACAAAAAAAAAAATTGTTAAATTAACACTTTTCAAATACATTTGTAAAAAAGTCAAAAAAAAATTAAAAATAAAAAATGTTGATTTCTATCTTTTCAAAACAGCCCTAAAAAACAAAACAACAACAATAAGACAACAATCTTGGGAAAGCAAGTTGGAGAGAGAGAGAGAGAGAGAGAGAGTCTTCATAGTAGATGATCACGATACTGAATTTTCTCTATGTGTTGTCAGAATGGATCCCCTGATCATGTCCCCCCCCCCCCCCAAACCTTACCGGATTGCGCTAGAATCTCTCTGAAGTAGGGGAAATTATATTTTGCTCCATAAATAGTGTTCCAACATATCATGCATTGGCTAAAATAATGAATTTTATTACTTTTTCTCTCCTATAAAAAGATAATATGACGCTTGACATGATTTATATGGTGTAAAGCAATATTTGGATCACTAAGTTGTGTTTTAAAAAATTGATAAAAAATTAACTTTTTAACTTTTGTAGTGTTTTTTTTGATAAAAATTGAATTATTTTGAAAAAAAAAAAAACTTAAAAAAAATTAAAAAATCAAAAAATAATTTTTTACCATTGTTTTCAAAAGGTCCTAAATAACTTCTCCTGAGGTAGGAGCTACTATCACCTTTTCATCATCTTCCCTCCCCTGCTCTGCCCAATGTCGGACCATATTATTACCAAATGAAACTAAGGGCTTTTACATATGGAGGGTTTGAACTCAGTTTTGTATGAGGACATTGATGAAATGACGAAATTACCCTTTGTTTTATGGAGTAATTTCATTTCTATGGGTCTGTAAAAAAATATTTTTAAATTAATATTAAATTTTAATAAAAATATAATCTTTTACATATATTTATAATTAATTTCGAAAAAAAAATTCTCTATGTAGTTTTTCCTTATTTTATTTGATAGAATATATTTTCTGACCAAGGGTATGACTGTCCTTGCGCATAAATAGTGCTCTTTTCATCGATACTATATACATATATATAGTATGATCTTTGTTGTGCCCTTTGCGCTCCAAGCATGGGCATGCATGGTTTTCTCTATCTCAAATTTTGTGCTTTTTTATTTTTTATTATTATTTTGGTCAAGGGGTAGAAGAATGTTAACAAAATATTTAAAAATTAATATTAAATTGAATAATCATAATTTAACAACATATATTTGGACAAATTATAAAAAAAATCTCAAGATTTAGCTTGTTTTTCACATTAAATCTTAACATTTTAATTTTAACAATTTAAACCTTAAATTTTTAACCGTATCCCAATGTTGACCCTCCGCCTTTTTTTGTTTATTTCTGTTAATTTTTTACACTTATTTAATGCACATGTTACTTTTTGATTCGTCATAATTATTATAATTATTTTATTTCTAAATTACTTTTTTTTCTATCAGCTCTCTTTCTCTCTCTCTCTTCTAGAATGAAAGATCCTTTCTCACGAAAGCAACCAAACCATTTCTTTTCCAACTTTTTCTCTTTCTCTCTCTTTCGGATTGTCGATTTTTAAAAAGCAACCAAACCAAGTTTGTCGTCACCGGCGGTGTCGGAGGAGAAGTCTCTATCTCTCTCTCAGAAACCAAACCCAACATCAGTCTCTGTTTCTCTCTCTCTCTCTCTCTCTCTCTCTCTCTCTCTCTCTTCTGTCTTTAGAATCCAAATCTAAATCCAAATCTGGAGACCTGACATCCATGTAGAACAGGACTTGACGTCCATGTAAAACGGGTGGAAACCATACAGATTGAGGTCGAGATTAGCATGGGATATGACGGCGTTCCACAGGGTCAAAGTCAGGTTATGAAGGAGTTTAAAGGACTTCTTAGTGTGCTCTCTAAGGTCGTAAAAGGAGGAATGATAGAAATGGAGAAAAGATGAGAGCTATAGGTGCTGATCCTTAAATATTAGAAATGTATCGAAATCAAAGGCAACCAGCGAGATGTCGCCAGATGAAAAGCTTGATCTAAGTTTTGGTGAACACGGTGTCGAGGATTCAGAGCTGGAAGGACTGAGCGAGAGAAAGAGAAAGAAATCGGTGGTCTGAGAGAGAGAGAGAGAGAGATAAGGGAAATGAGGTCGGAGGTGATGCGGTTGTGGGTGGATCAACAACTACCGTGGCGACAGATCTAGAAATCATAGAGGCAAAACTGCGATAGCGTCGATACAAGCAACGACGGATGAGGAACAATAGAGGAGGAAAGCGACGGTGGAAGAGAAAGATGGAGTGAGTTAGGGTTTTGAGAGAATGAAAGAGAGAGAGAGAGAGAGAGAGAGTGTGTGTGTGTGTGTGTGTGTGTGTGCGCGCGCGCGCTAATAGAAAAAAAAATAGAAATAAAATAATTATAGTAATTATGGACGAATCAAAAAGTGACACGTGTATTACTCCCCGTCCCCGATCCCTGATGGTGGAAATACCCCCGTCCCCGGCCCTGATCCCCGACGGGGAGCCCATAACCGTCCCCGTCCCCTAATGGGGATCGGGTTTCCCCGACCCCGAAATTCTCCGATCAAAAAAAAAAAAAAAAAAAATCTAAAAAACATATTTCAACAACAAATCTAACAGAGATCAAAAATAGATTTTAACAACAATTCTAACAGATTTCAACAACAAATCAGAGAGAGAGAGAGAGAGATTTTCAACAACAGATTTCATTTTCTTGATCTTTATCAACAAATTGATCAAAAAATCTAACACATTCATCAACAAATCTAACAGTGATTAACATGTTCATCTTCATCATTTCCAGATCTGAAGAACAAAATCAAAAAACAGAGAACAAAATCAAAAAAACAGAGAGAGAGAGAGAGAGAGGGGAGGAGATATCGCGAGAGAGAGAGAGAGACAAGGAGATACCATGAGAGGGAGAGAGGAGGAGCTGCGGTGAGGAACGACGGTACGGGAGGAGGCGTCGCCGACCAAGCCAAGAAGGGAGAGAGAGAAAAGGAGATACCATGAGAGAGAGAGACGATAGCGTGAGAGAGAGAGAAGAAGAAGCCGCTGCTGACCAAAACGGTGAGGAGGAGCTGCGGTGAAGAGCGGCGGTGAGGGAGTTCCGCCAGAGGAGGAGCGGCGGTGAGGGAGGAGCCATTGCCGACCAAAATGATGAAGGAGAGGCGGTGAGGAACGACCGTGTATGTGAGAGAGAGAGGGAGAAGATGTTTGTGTGTGGGTGTGCTGCATCTACCAACAGCCCAAACCCTACACACTCTCACACATATATTATATATAGAAGGGGCAAAATAGTAATTTCACACCGGGGCAACCGGGGCGGGGATGAGGGACGAGGACAGTGTCGGGGTCGGGCCGGGTCCGGGGCTGAAACATGTATCCCTGTCCCCGGCCCGAATATTATCGGGGATTCAATTTTTAATACCATCCCCGGCCCGTCGGGGATATTTTTCGGGGAATAACCGCTCGATTCGGGGTCGGGGGATCGGGTCCCTGTCGGGCCGGGTTCTAATTTCCATCCCTAGCTAGGTTGGCTTGTGGGCCAAAACATAAAGGCTATGGACTTAGTCCAAATGGGCTCGTGGGTCGGCTTAATGGACCGGCCAACAGGCCAATCAGCCTCATAACCTGGCTTTGTGGGCTTAGCTCAATCAATAGATATTGAAGGTATTTTTTTCTAATTATTTCATTGTGTTACTTCTAACTTTTTAATATTTTTTGATGAGTTCATAGTAGGGTTTAAATCATAGATCTAGGCCCAACTCAAATCTCATGTGCACGTGACTCGAGTCAATTACAAGCTCGTTGAGTGGGCCTAGGCTAGATCGTAAAGTTTCAGATCAAATGATGACCTTAGTCTAATAAATGATCTGTATAATGAAGTCACATGTAACATTTTGTAGCATAGTTTGATTAAGGTGTTAGTATAATCAACCATGGGAGGATAATAAGAAAGGCTACTTTGTTTGGTCTTTTGGTAATTTAGTTGTTGGGCATATGCTTCAATCTTCTTTTTTATGTTTGTTCCTTTTTTTTTTTTTTTTTTGGAGGAAACTCTTCCAACCTCCTAATCTTCTTCCTCTTTCTTGGCCTCTCAATACACATTTGTAGTCTATCCTATACCCTATTCCTCCACACACACACACACACACACACACACACATATGTTTGTCTACATAGGCTATGTTTGGCTTGTTATTTTAGGGTTATTTTAGTCACAAAAAAGACAAAATATGCTAAAAAGCTAATAAGATCTCTTTTGGGTAGTAATTATTTTAGTCAAAAAATTAAAAAATTAAAAAGTCACTATAAGTTATCACATCACTCTTTCTACTTTTTTGCATAACTTTACATAAAAAGTCAAAAAATTACTAAAATAGTCTGTTCTCAAACAAGACCTAAGACAAAATATCACATTCAAATTATAATTATTTTATTTTCTCTCTCACAAAAGTCAAAAAAATCAAAAAACTCATCCTAAATAAGACTTTTTAACTCCAAATTAAAATAATTAAAAAATCAACTGACATGCCAAACGAAGACATATGAGGAAGTGAAAGTAAGTTAGAGAATATACAAAGATAAGGTGTATGAGTGAGAGAGAGAGAGTTGTTAGATAGCAAAACATGGCACTAGAAACTGTGGTGTACAAACAAGACCCATTTGGCTATGGTTGCAAGGAGTTCTACAACTTGGCTGGTTGGGGCTATCATGAAGAAGATAATAAAGCTCTTATAGAGCATGGCATGAATGCAAATGGGGACTCCTTATCTTCTTCAGTCATGCAAAATCAAAATGTGAAGGAACATTGGGAACCCAATTCTTCGCCGGAGGCTTGCTCCGGTGACCGTTTACTTGGCCAAGAAGGGTCCCCACCCACTCCCATGGAAGCACCGGCGGCCACAATGTTGGGGCGGCGAAAGCGCCGGCGAAGCAAAAGTGGGAAGAACAAGGAAGAAATGGAGAACCAGAGGATGACTCACATTGCAGTTGAGAGAAATCGGAGGAAACAGATGAATGAGTATCTAGCTGTTATTCGGTCATTGATGCCGGCTTCTTATGTTCAAAGGGTTAGAATTTTGACACTTCTTCTCTAATTTTTACTGATTAATAGTTAGGTTTTTTATCTATAGTCTATGAAGATCTTTTAATTTACTTTGTCCATGTAGTTTTCATTTCATATAATTAAATAGTTTCATTCTGGTTAGAAAGTTAAAGTCACAATTATTAGTCCATTGTCATGTCATTGCACAAGAATCTTTAGTACAATAATCATGTTTTATGCTTTATCTCTGAATTTTCTTTTCTTAAATTTTTCTATCTGTCTAAGCTAATGCACTTTTAATAATTAAATTATATAAAATTTTCAAGACAAAAGAAATTCTAGATTCCGACATAATCTAATAATTAGAAATTTATTGAGATAGGGACATAAAGAATTTGGGGATAAAAGATCCGGTGTCCTCAAAAAATCAACCTAGTGTACGAGTTTACGTTAAAGTGAAGTTTTTTAAAGTCAAGATTTATGTAGTAATATCATCATTTTTGAAGAGGTTATTCTTATTACTTAATTCACGTTATCAGAGATATTAACGACAAGTCTTATTATTAATTCAAATTGCCCTTTTTTTTATCTCTCTCTCTCGACAAATTAATTTAGTGTGATTTTTTTTTCCCCAGGGTGACCAAGCATCAATTATTGGAGGGGCAATTAATTTTGTGAAGGAGCTTGAGCAGCTTCTTCAAACATTGGACGTTCAGATGAGGACTACTTCTACACAAGAATCCAAAAATGGCTGCTCTCCACTTTTTGCCAATTTCTTCACCTTCCCACAGTACTCAACACTTTCAAGTAACTCTAATAATTCACCGGAGGTTGAGAACCAGTTGGGATCGGAGGCATTTGCTGACATAGAGGTGACCATGGTGGAGAGCCATGCCAATCTGAAGATACTATCAAAGAGGAGACCTAGACAGCTCTTGAAGATGGTGACTGGGCTTCAGTGTCTCTGGCTCACTGTTCTCCACCTTAATGTCACAACAGTTGATCAAATGGTTCTCTATTCACTCAGCGTTAAGGTTCGTTAATACAGTTGTGAAAGTTTCGTGTCTTGTGTTGTTAATTTAGTCCTATAATTTTTTAGTTATACTAAATTCATCATTTAATTTTTGACATTGTGTCAATTTAATTTATTTGATAATATCATTTCAGAAATTTGACAGAAAGTAACAGTGAAATCATAAATTAAAAAATAAATATACAATTACAAATTATTGAAAAAAATGAATTGATTAATTTGTGTTTTAATTTCAGTCTAATTTGTAAAAGGCTGTTTATCAAAGGGAGAAAAAATTGATTCAATGTGAAAAAATTATGGTAAAATTGATCAATTGGAATTAGAGAAACTAAATTAACAGGAGATATTACGACTACGATTGTAATTTGCCCAAACTTTTTCATTATCTCTTTTCTACGTAGTCTTTGTGCTCATAACATATGCTGTTTTTGTATATGTATGCAGGTTGAGGATGGATGCCAGCTGACTACAGTGGATGAAATTGCCGAGGCTGTTAATCAGTTGCTAGGCAGAATTGAAGAAGAAGCTGCTGCTTTGAGCTGAAACCCTAAGTTTTATACTTATGGGTTTCGGTCTGTTAGAATAACTCAATGTTTTTTGACCTTCTCTTTCTCTCTCATTTACTGGAAATTTTTTGTACATTATTGAAACTTTGAAGTTGATGCTGATGCTGTAATCAACTATGACAAACGCTAGTAAGTGTGTCTAAATATTATTTAATGTTGTGATTTGTGTAAAAAGTGTTTTAGACAATATATATTATTACAAGTTCTAAATTTATTGAATTTTTTTTGAAATTAATGAAAAATGTTTTGTATTCTTTAATCTCTCCCCCCAAAAAAATTGAAAAATTCAACTTTTTCACTAGAACCAAAAAAAAAAAAAAAACTCTTTTAACTAGGTTTGCTTTTTTTGCAACCCTAGGCCAAGTTTGGCATCCTCCAAAAAATTCAAAAAGTCACTATCCTATTTAAGTCACATCATCTTATTTAAGTCACCTCACCTCTCTAACACATCACTTCAAACCCAACCCAAATCCAACCTATATTTCATAAAAAGTCAAAAAGTACACTTATTTAGTCTTTCCAAACTTGGCCTAAATCAATTGCTTTTATAGATGTACAAATGGAAATTGATGTTTTTTTCTTCTTCATTTTGGTTTAAAACCAATAATATAATTAATGTGTACATTAATGACAATTGCTTTTTTCACATGATCACACGATTGGATAGACAAAATTGAACCCCAATTGGTGTGCAATACACTTGCATACACTTGTACGAATGAATGCTCTCTCTCTCTACCCCAATTCGGATGGACCAAATTGAACCCCAATTCGAATTCTTCAACCAACTCTTTATCTATGAAAAAAAAATAAAATTAAAGAATTACTTTATCAAATTTTTAGTATTTTTTTTTTATTATTCCATAGCTGTTTTATGAAGGACAAATTCTTTATCCGACATACGTATCCAATTCGAATAAGTGGCATAAGGAATTTTCCTTCTAGGTATTAAAATGACCAATTGGAATAATATATATTTGTGGTTCAAAATCATGTCATGACTAGGCACATGATGTTGAAAGAGCAATAGGACATTTATTTGGCAACAATATGACAAGTTTGGCTAAGAAATGAATTTGCTCAGTATTTGTCATATAGTTGCAGCTAACATTTTGTGTTTGTACTGTTGTATTGTACTCCACAAGACAAAATTCCATTTCAATTGAAAATCTACAATGTCGTTGATTTTGATAGTGTTACAACGCGTTGCATGACAGCTACTCTTTTTAAAACATTTGTAAAATACTCAAATCTGCTAAATACAAGTTTAATTTACAAGCGCACTTTCTGTGTTTAAAATCTAAATGCAACTTGTTTCAAGAAATTTACTATATAAAAAAAAATCCTGAAAATAAACTACTACTTATGAAACATAAAAAAATAAATAAATTATTGTAAATTTTTGAAATGATGGGTGTTTCGAACTTCTTAATTTTTTTTTTAATTTATGAAAATATGAAAAATAAAACTCAAGAAAATTAAAATGATACCAACGTGCCGAGCTTTTTTCTAAACCCCAATTATCAGTGGCTAAACCATATTCATCTGATCTAAAGCAGCAGGCTTCCAAGTCAAATGCCTTCTAAATTCTAATATTATTTTTGAGAGGGTAATTTATATGAAAATTGGATTGAGCTAGGTAATGGGCCGTTATGGGCCACAGTGCGAAGGGCTGAGTAAAAAGGCCATGAAGTTACTCCGGCCCAAGAGAGGTGTAAAGTTACTCCGGTCCCAAGGAGGTTAACTCGGTCACCATACTAAAACTTATACTGGTTATGGTGCAGTATGGTTAGCTCGGTCTAAACCGAGCCAACCTTGCTAAAAGTTGGCTCGGTTTAGACCTACCATGGTTTGTACAGGAGGAACTGAGGTAAGAGTAGTAAAAGGACAAACCAAACTAAGGATAGTTCGGTCTGTTCTACGGCTAAGCATAGCCATGCGTATCTCGGCCACATTGGAGTCTGACCATAGTAAAACCATCTCACTTGGTTTAAACAGTGAGGGGGGTGTTGAAGGATAGGCATTATCTTTCAGGAGTATGAATACTAGGAGGACTCTACATAGAGGAGTAAGAGTCCTACTGGGATTGTGCCACACGGAACCTATAAAAGCTCACGAACATCACTTATGGAGAGGTAACACAACTTTGATTCCTGAATACATAGAGCTTTTGTCTACTCGTCTATTTTGCTGACTTAGGCATCGGAGAGGTTTTCGGCACACACCCGCCGGTTAGCTCACGTTTGTGTTTTCAGGTGGCAAAGCAACATTGTTTGGAGGAACGCAAACTTGATCAATAGGATCATACGAGAAGAATTATTTCATGCTCGTACAATTGGCGTCGTCTGTGGGAATATCACGAAGAGCAAAACCTCTTGATCAAGTTTTCCTCTCTAGTTGAAAGCAATAGCGCACAATGAAGCCTTGCCACAATCTGCTATTGATGGGCAAACACCGGAAGGGGGTGGGAGGCGTGAAGGTTTACCTTCTATCCCACCCATGGCAGAATTAGATCCCCAGCGAAGGAATCCGCGGAGAGAAGAAAGAGAAAGACAGGGCTCAAGTCCACATCGCTCTCAAAGTCCTGATAGACAGAGGTAGAAGATAAATCCACAAGTTCTCGAAGATCGCATAAGGGAGCAAGACAAAGTAATAAGAAGAATGGCGACTGACATGAAGTCTATGAAGCGCCAGATGAAGGGAAAATGAGTGGCGACAGGAGAGGGGCGCAAAAGCAAGACGCCTCCTCGCCGCTCAGAAGACCGTGGAAGGCATTCCACACCATCACAAGCAGAGAGTAGAAGCCTCAGGACAGGCAATACTCAATCCAGAACCTCCAGAACTCGTTACTCCAGGTCTGAAAGAACGAGATCATTGAGGTCTTTTACTGAGGGAAGTACCTATCGACCCTCACGCTCGCACCAGACATCATCCAGGCAGACGGAGTTGCCCAGATCGTCCGATTTGCGGAACATGTTGGAAGAAAAGGCACGAAGGAAGGAGGATACTAGGGCGCGCAACCCTCGTAGGGTATCTGCCCTTCAGTGGTTGGCTCCTCGGACGCATGGAAGCGTCGAGGTCAGAATGCCGTCGCCACGCCCTGCCTATGAACCAACGGACAAAGCATTAGCAAGGCTGCAGACATTGCCGTTCGTTCCGGCAATTGAAAACGTGCCCCTTCCTTCAGGTTTCCTTCAACCCAAATTCACTACGTACGAGGGGAAGACAAACCCCTACATACACCTAAGCCACTTCCGCCAGGTTATGGCGGTATATCGGCGAAACGAAGCTTTGATGTGCATCTTCTTCCCATCAAGCCTTGGTGACCTAGGCTTAACTTGGTTCGAAAAACTTCCAGAAGGCAGCATAGCCTCCTGGGCACAATTGGCGGAGACGTTCGTCACGAGGTTCAGAACGAACACCAAAACCCTAGTGGAGATTGACCAGTTACTCTCCATCGACATAGGTGAAAAGGAGACACTAAGATCCTACAATAGTCGCTACTGGGAGACATTCAACCAGATTGGGGACTGCCCCAACAATCTCGCCATTGCACAGTACAAAAGAGGCCTTCTAGTCGGAAACAAACTAAGGGACTCAATCACCATGACACCGCCCCTCACCATGGAGGCCTTGATGGAAAAAGTGCATCAGCACATCAGGGTGGAAGAGGATGGCGCCCGTGCCAAAACAAAATCTGGCACGACCGCAGTACCAGATAAAAAGACCACAACAAAAATCAACGCGGTAGAACGTCCGAATAAAAACGGACGAGGCAGGCGAGACAACGGAGAGGACCAGGATAAAAGGTGGTTGAAAATGCGCACAACCATAACCACGGTATTCAAGAAACCGATCTACCAGATTCTGAGCGAAATACGCGATGAACCTTTCGTCAAATAGCCAGCTAAGCTAGGAGAAGCACAGAAAGACTACGACGAAAGGTCGCGATGCACCTTTCAAAAAGAAAAGGGGCACCGCACTGAAAATTACAGGCCATTGAGACAGCATCTGGAGGAGTTGGTGGCAGCCGGTCACCTGGATAAATACATTGAAGGAGGGACGCAACTAGCCTCCCAGGACCACAATAACCCCAATGGAATGCCAATTGACGCCCCACCTCAAGGTGTGATCAATGTAATACATGGAGTATTCGAACCTGAGCGTGTATGCGAGCTCAGAGGGTCGATCAAGAAGGCTGAGCACTTAAGGGAGGTACTAAGTGCCTAACCTACCATTAAAAAGGGGAGAACGGAGGCCACGAATGTCATGTCTTTTCAAACAAGGACTTGGAAAGAATATATTGCCCTCACAACGATGCATTGGTCGTCACCCGCCGCGTCAAAGATTATGATGTCAAGCGAATTCTGATAGACCAAGGTAGCTCGTGTGGGATAATATACTACGATACCTTCAAACAACTGAAATTAGAGGACAAAGACCTGGCACCAGCTGTATCCCCCCTGATCAGATTCAATTCAATGCCAGAATGGCCAGTCGGCAAAATTATACTGCCAATCAGAGCAGGAAGCGTGACAAAACAAGTGAAATTTTGGGTATTGAAAGTCCCTTCCACTTACAACATAATCTTGGGAAGAACATGGCTCCATGCCATGAAATCAGTAACATCATCCTACCATCAAGTAATGCGGTTTCCCAACGGAACCAGAGTAATTGAAGAGGTCTTTAGAGACCAGATTATGTCCAAGAAATGCTTTGTCACGGCTAACGGCAGCCGCGCTGCCAAGGGTTATGTACATTCGGTGGAAGAACCTGAGAGTAATGAACTGTTCGCAGATGTCGGCAGAACATCTGATCAAAAAACGGTGGAAGATTTGGTAGAGGTAAGAATAGATGAAAAGAACCCGGATAAGTTCTTTTTGCTCGGTTCGTCATTGTCCAGCACTGGAAGATTAAAGGTCTTGGAATTCTTAACCTCTAACATCGAAGTGTTCGCCTGGACACCTTACGGCATGCCAGGCATTGATCCAAACTTCATCTGTCACCAACTCAATGTCCACCCATCTGCCAGACCAATCATTCAGTGCACTCGCAGATCGGCACTCCACCACGCCGAGATAGTAGCGGAAGAGGTGGGAAATCTGCTAGAGGTAGGAGCTATCAAAGAGGTGCACTACCCTAGATGGATTTCCAACACAGTCGTGGTACCAAAG